ACGACAAGGTTGTTTCAGCCTCTAAGGTTATTGAGAAAAAGATGCCTTTTGAGTCTAGAAAAAAGTAAGTGGAAATTGGGCGATCGGATACCCACAAGTACACCAACTACCAATGAAATGGTTGCTTTGCCACATATGTCCTCAAACACGTTCGAAACATTGAATAACTCTCCAAGCTCAAGCAATTTAGAAAGAAGAAATGAGGACACGTATCATTTCACAGAGTATCCAGATACATCTAGTAGGTCTACAGATATGCATGTTGACTTTGCACATGATGCTCAGAATACTGGACAAGTTTTGAAATCTGAGCAACATATCAGAAATGGGAACATAATTAATACATCCGGATCTGCACAAAGTCACTTGGATAATGGAAATGAAATTACCATAGAACATTCTAGTCTGTACAATGATAACAAATATACAATTGCTTCTGACAAAACTGTATCTGACGACAAGGTTGTTTCAGCCTCTAAAGTTATTGAGAAAAAGATGCCTTTTGAGCCTAGAAAAAAGTAAGTGGAAATTGGGAATTTTAAATTATAAGTATTATTTTTTTTTTATTAATGTGTTCGTATCCAGGGTGCTCCAACTCGTGAAAATAATGATATTGAACCAAATGTGTTTCAGTAAAAAGTTCCTAGTTGCTGAGATATAGAAGTTTATCCAAGATATTTTTTTCTCAGCTTATATATTTTTGGGTACAATTTCTACTTCACCTGAACATAACACTGCCAAATCACAAACATCAACTCTTGAGCAAATCAGAGCCTACAATGATATTCCCTTATCAGTTAGCGAGATTGACAGTCAGATAAACGAAAACGAACATAGTCAGGCACACATATTAAATATAGGTCGACAGCCAGCATCAAACGACGATATTGAGAAAAGCCTCGGTAATATCCTGACACTACCTTCAGACGATAGGGAGTATGATGATATATGCGAAGTGACAAACACTGATCCTGAAGCAATTGTAGAACTTATTACTGAAAGTGACAAGGAAATCAACACGCGAAAAAGAATCAGTGAAACGTGTGACAAAATGGAAGTCTGTCCTGTTGCATCACAATTCAAGGATACATCATCGATACGTGAAGCAAGTAAGTCTACTGTGATACCAGAAGAAAATTTTCAAAAGAGGCAAAGCATCAGAAGTAGCGATAAATATGATTTTAAGAACAGCGATCGGATACCCACAAGTACACCAACTACCAATGAAATGGTTGCTCTGCCACATATGTCCCCAAACACGTTGGAAACATTGAATAACTCTCCAAGCTCAAGCAATTTAGAAAGAAGAAATGAGGACACGTATTATTTCACAGAGTATCCAGATACATCTAGTAGGTCTACAGATATGCATGTTGACTTTGCACATGATGCTCAGAATACTGGACAAGTTTTGAAATCTGAGCAACATATCAGAAATGGGGACATAATTAATACATCCGGATCTGCACAAAGTCACTTGGATAATGGAAATGAAATTACCATAGAACATTCTAGTCTGTACAATGATAACAAATATACAATTGCTTCTGACAAAACTGTATCTGACGACAAGGTTGTTTCAGCCACTAAAGTTATTGAGAAAAAGATGCCTTTTGAGTCTAGAAAAAAGTAGGTGGAAATTGGGAATTTTAAATTATAAGTATTATTTTTTTTATTAATGTGTTCGTATCCAGGGTGCTCCAACTCGTGAAAATAATGATATTGAACCAAATGTGTTTTAGTAAAATGTTCCTAGTTGCTGAGATATAGAAGTTTATCCAAGATATTTTTTTCTCAGCTTAAGTTGTTTTTGAAACAACATGAAAATTAGGAATCGGGGTTTCTTGGCATGAGAAATAAGAATATGATGTATTTCTCAACATAATGTGTGCTAAACAATACGGTATTCCTTAATTTTTATCAAAAACTATTTGTTATTTAAAATTGATGTTGTCCCCTTGAAGATAATTCTGTACAGATATTATGTACTTACATGAGAGCACTTTCCAATCCTTGAAGTGATTCTAATAAACACTTACTTCTCAGGCATACTGAACGATTTTTTGGTAGATTTCGCACTAAAATCGGTAGTTCGGAGAATAGGACTAAAATATCGGTAGATCTACCGAAAAATAAGACCTGGTAATATTGTCCCTAATGGCCAGAAAATATAGCTTTTGACTCTGACGTGCTGCGCGGCCGACGGCCCGCAAGCCACTGCTGGCTCCACCTTCCACATTTGTAAGAAAAAGATTCATAGATCACTATTAATACCTATTGACATTTGATAGAAACATTTTGTTGCTCAAAGGTATGGTAATATTTTGTGAATAAACTGGATGATTTCCTTGATTAATGCAACAATATGAAAGTTAAATCAAGGACTTATTCATTTGTTATTTATGTCATCGTCGTCGCTGGATCGATGCAATCAAAAAGACATGACAGAGAAACGCGGAACTCTTTGAACTAGGCGTACAGTCCAGAAGACCTATATTGGTAGCCCCAATATGAACAGCTTAACTTAAATGATGGGCACACTGGCGTATTCAGGGGGGCTTTGGCCGCATAACGCCACGGCTTGGTATATTTCTCTTTACATATTACATCATTCGATACTTTTTGTAAAATGTAGCCCACTATGGCCCAAAGGACATGAACCACCCTGTTCTGCAATTTTCAATCCCCCCCTCCTCCGCTTTAGTGAAATCCACACAAAAGAGTAGAGGGCAGGTAAGCAACAGATTGGTTTGAAAGTCATAGGCGAAATTTTTTGTCTGGAATCGACGTTAAAGAACATGATGAGTATCGATTTTTTACGTATATAACCATTAGGGTCAGGCGGATTTGGGGACGTCTTAAGCTGTGCCGGGACCCCTCAATACCACTTATTAAAATTTATCGTAGGTTTTTGGACACGTTTCCCTATCAAGCCCGGGAGCCTGCGCAAGGGCACTATGGACCCATAGGTTACAGACGGAAGGGCGGATCTTGATGTGCCTTTAAATCCTAGCTTTTAGTGACTTTCAAAACGCAGAACTAATTTACCTCATCCGGCTAAACTAGGCAGTCCTGGCTGAATAAAATTAAAAAATCATGACCGAAGTATGTGTTTGTATTGATTTTGGGACGATTTCTAGAAAAAGAAAACATTTTATATACTTTGATTTCCGCTTAAAGTGGCTGAACCTGTGTGTACAAAGCAAAAAGCATCCTTCTCCCCGAATATTGAAATTTGAAAGAAATATTTTGCCTTTCACAAGTGTGGAGATGTTTTACAAATAAAGATGTTATCTGCTTTGAAAGTCACACCAATTGGAAATTTAAGCCTACACATTATCAACAGAAATAGCCCGCCGCCACTGGACAGAATCAATCCAAGGCGCGCGCACTTATAGAATGCGGACATTACCTTCAAGGATGAGTCATGCTTTTTAGACGATCTTCTGCGTTAATACAACGTTGCAATTCGGTATTTTTGGAGGCCAGAAAATGTAAAAGGTATGTGCAACTTGGATCGTTCATTTTTGTACCTAATCTCTATCTGTTATTCCTGAAAAATGGTACTTCGACGGTTTCCTAATCTGTCATATGCATACTGACAGTACATTCCTGTTTCATGGCTTTCACAAATCGGGTGGAATTTGCTTTCACAAGCAAAATATAACGCCAACCTTGCATAAGGAATTAAATCTCTATCTGACAATAAGGAAAAAAGTACGTTGGTGGATTCCTATCTTGTCATGTTCATACTTATGGTCCTGTTCTATGGTTATCACAAACCAGGTGGAATTTGCTATGACAAGCAAATGGGAACAGATTGTTGACCATACTGAGTCGGTACGTTATTCCAAACGCTTTCAGCGTTGTTATTTGTAGTAGGATCAATCTAAGTAACAGTTACCATCAAAAGCAACATAGTTTAATGCTAAATCTTTATCCAAAACGTCTTCGTTCGTCCTTGGCGTGGAGCTGACTATCACAAGCCAGGTCCACGTTGCTATCCCAAGGGACCTAGTTCGATGCTTCAACGTTATTCCAAGCATCTTTGATATGGAGTTTGCTTTCACACGCTAAGTCCAGTTTGCCATCCCAAACAACACAGTCCAGTGTAGAAACGTTACTCCAAACGTCGTGTCAACCTCATAAACTTGCACTTAAAACAGATTGATTAGTCGACCTGATGGTGACGTCCCTTCAGAAAGATACCATGCTAAACGAGCCAAAGCCACGCAGCTACCTCTTAAGGAGTTTAGACTAGTTAAATCTCAGTCCGAAGCAGTTTAGACTAGTTTTTCCTAATCATAATTAATTTATTTTAGGATAAACTGACCGAAACATCTTATTTTCTCGTATTTTCACAACAAAAAAGGTTTACTTGTTAGAAGTGTCTAAATCTAATAGTTTTCGAGATATTTGTTTTTAAAAGTTCCAATGCATTATTTGTACCATGCTGATAAAACATTTTTATAACCTAATAATCAAGTTGCTTTGGATAATATCTGAGTAGCGTTGCTATGGTTTTTAACAATAACAAATGAGGATCGCAACAAAGCTGATAAACGAGTTTAGGATTAACTAGTTTTTCCTAGGCCAAATCAATGTATCCGAAGAGCAATAGGATGAACTAGTTTATCCTAGTCTAAACGGATTTGTCCTGAAATCAATTAAGTATGATTAGACAAAACTGATTTGTTTTAGTCTACATACAGTCTCTTCACAAAAGTAATGTTTTTACTACCAATGGAAGAAAATACTATTATTTTAAACATGTTTAATAACTTTTTATTAATTACTTGTTATTACGTGTCAAACTATTGTGGCATTTCGAGTTGCAGACAACATTATTTTTCTTGCAGTCATCGATTTGACTTCTTGGTGAAACTACACCTTAAGAAACCTTGATCTGTTCCATATGAATGTTTGATCGCTGTGGTTGTTAACGAAAGTTCAATGTTTTTGTACACTTCTTCCAATAAAAACTTTTGCACATATCAAATTTATTTCTGAAATGAAAATATTTAATTTAAATAAAATAAAAACCGCAACAAATTAAAAAAATACCTGCAATACAATTTTTGTAAGATACCATGCTAAACGAGCCAAAGCCACGCAGCTATCTTTTAAGGAGTTCAGACTAGTTAAATCTCGGTCCGAAGCAGTTTAGACTAGGACAAATCAGTTTTTCTAATCATAATTAATTTATTTCAGGATAAACTGACCGAAAAATCTCATTTTCTCGTATTTTCACAACAGAAAAGGTTCACTTGTTAGAAGTGTCTCAAGCTAATAGTTTTCGAGATATTTGTTTTTAAAAGTTCCAATGCATTATTTGTACCATGATGATAAAACATTTTCATAACATAATAATCAAGTTGCTTTGGATAATATCTGAGTAGCGTTGCTAAGGTTTTTGACAATAACAAGTGAGGATCGCAACAAAGCTGATAAACGGAAATAATAACTACAAAAATTACTCAAAACCTTGCCTAACAAACTCTCGAGTTCAAGGAACCAATCCTTGCTCCACTCTCCAAAGCATTTGGGTGTTATTTTTCATTTCCTTGCGTATTGTAAACGCGTCGTTTTAAATCACCCCAGAAGAAGAAATCCATAGGATTTAAATTTGGTGATCTAACCGGCCACGATACAGGTCCTGGATAAACTGGTCTGGATAAACTCTATTTAGGTGCTCTCTAACTAATATAGTAAAATGAGGTGGAAGCGTCGTCGTGCATAAACCACATATTCATGCGTGTTTGTAATTCCAGCAGAATGGTTAATTGTTCTTCAAGAAATTGTAAATACCGTTGGCCATTCAGTCTAGGTGGTAACTCAACGGGCCATATTAAATATTGTCCAATTATTCCTTTCCATAAATTATTCTGAAATTGTACTTGGTGGCGGGTTTGTATTATTGCATGAGGATTTTCGTCTGCATAAATGTGAAGGTTATGCGAGTTAATGGGCCCATCACTTCCAAATCCTGCTTCGTCCTAAAATAATATTAATAATATTAAATGGTATTTATTGTACATTTGGAAACTTGAAATTCTCGAGCTACATTCCTAACCCGAAATGTAGGATTTTTAAACGCAGCATCTAAAACATTTTATTTAACTTCAGCTGAACGTACATTTCTGGAAGCTCCACTATGTCGGCCCATATTTTGAGCAAAACTACCTAAAATCTAAATGGTTTTTACTACTCAAAATAATCATTTCTTACCAGTTTCTCGTAATCGCTGATCGATTCGTTGGAAAGTGTTTGAAATAAGCAGGTGACTATTAGGGAATGTCAGCGTACAATCTTCGTGCTTTTGAAGCATTACATTTTGCCAATCCGTACATTAAATGCATATCAGAATATTCATCAAACGTATACTCTATGCTGTTTAACAACTTATTGTCAACTTAAAATTATTCATGAAGTCTGAAGCAATATTATGACAAACATTGGAAACCATAGCAACGCTACTCAGATATTATCCAAGTCAACTTGATTATTATGTTCTAAAAGTGTTTTATCATCATGGTACAAATAATGCATTGGAACTTTTAAAAACAAATATCTCGTAAACGATTAGCTTTAGACACTTCTAACAAGTAAACCTTTTTTTGTGGAAACACGAGAAGATAAGATTTTTCGGTCAGTTGTTGTATACAGAGTATCACAAAAAAGTTATGATAAGTTATTCACCGAAATAGTGCTGTAAGTGGCGCCCTTTAGATGTTTGGCCATATAAAATATTCTTGTATCTCACACTAGAAAACCTTCCTATACCGAGTTTTATGCCAAAATCTGAAATACTTCTCAAGCAATAAAGAAAAATCTGAACGGTAGCATAGACAAATTCGTTTTCCACATTACAGCAGAAAGTCCAAACAGTTCATTTACAAACAAAGGTCTGACTCATCGACGAGTGATCACCGCAAATTGAATAGGCACAAAACTTGGCAAGACATAAAGAGCACTCGCGAGATAACGAATGTCATGTACAGGCAAGGGGAAAATTATAACAGCGGAGTCACACGTCCAGAAAAGGATTTTGATCTTTTTGGCTCTGGTAATGCTATAAACCAGGATATTCAGGTAAGCACCATTATGATAATGATTAACTTGTTTATGCTCATATAAAGTATGGCCTATGAGGGTAGCCAACTGCTCAAAATCATTTTGGCTAGACGTTTTCATAATTTTGTTGACGCCTCTGGATTACTAGTGCTTCATAAAAAGGCATGCTTTTTGACTAATTTTTACCCTACAATGGGTTGGCTCTTTGAAGAATGCTTAACAAATAGAACGTAATTCGCTTCTTTGACAAATTCAGTTCTCGCTCTTATAAGTATTTCAATCTGGGTTCTTGCTGAATAAAATCGCTATTTCACTTCCCCTGTTGCCTCTCATTACAACTCTTTTGAAACTTTTCCACACTACTTTCTCCGTAGGCGTAACTAAGTTTTTCTCAAATCTTTAATTGTTCTGGTCGAGCAGATATTCTCTTAATACCCTCAAATCTGCAGCTAACGGAACAATAGTTACTTTATTCCACGCTTTGACATTAAAGGCATTTGCTGCGTGGGATGAAATTTCATATTTTCACGTATTCCACATTTCTTGTATAATCTCCTTTACCCAAGTCTAACCGTTTTTGACATATTTATTTCAAATGTTCTGTTAAAAATGACATTTGCAGGCCCTAGAATAATTGTTCACTTCCCCTATGTAAAACACCTTATTGTTTAATGTGGATTGATTCTCTGGTAAACAGGGATATTAGTTTAATAGACTTTGTATGATATTTCGATAATTATTTATACAGGTTGATCAAAAAATTAGTATAAAGATTGAATGTCAAAATTGCTAAAAATCGATTTTTTCAAATGAAAACCTCAATAATGTTTACTTTTCGAGTAATTTGCAATTTATTACTTTTCTATAGTAAAACTCCTATAAGTACAGATTCAGTTTTTCAATTTATTGGCTATGACGGCGGGACGCAGAGAATAAACAATTGAGCACAACAGAAATATCACTACGTCTAATTTTAAGCTTTTAATAATGATATATTTAATAATTTTCATGTATTCGTAATCGGAATGATATGAAGACTAATTATGATAAGTTTGCTAGTAGATTTCCAAACAATCGCTCATACAGTGAAATGAATAACAGGAAACAATAAGCTATTTCGATTTATATTTAACTTTCATACTATTATAAAACAAAATTAGACCATAACAAGGAACAACTCATTTTGGTAAATGTTCAAAATGACCACCGCTAACATCTAAACATTTAAAAGATCTATCTATTAACTCCTGATGAGTGGCAGTTCTTATTATTTCCGGACTCAAACTAGCAAATGTATTTCTTACTCTCCGCTTACAGTCATCTAGAGTGGTCAGTGGGTTCTGGTAAACAATATTTTTTATTGTCCCCCATATAAAGTAGTCCAAGACTGTTAGATCCGGCGAACGGGGCGACCACTTGAATGGTCCATTATTAGCAAACCCTTGATCGTAAAACATAGCTTCTAAGAAATTGTTTACTAAGTATCCTTTGTGGGGTGGCTCACCATCATGTTGATAGAATACATTTCGATGATCAGCAAGTGGTAAATTATCCAAGTAATTGTTTTCTAAATTCCGAAGAATGTTCAAATAACCTTCATCTAAAAATATCATTGGGTATTAATAATTTTTATAACAGCATAACGTTTTCTTTAATATCCAAATATTTTTAAATGAGATAAATTAGTACTAATGTTGGCAATGCTGACCCTATGTGTTAAAAAACTTATACTACTGGTATTTGGATATTGCACATTCTTATCAGTTTCTTTCATAAAAAAAAACTGTTGATAATTTTCTTCATAAAACTGTAGAGAGACAACTTGATTATCTCTGACAGCGCAGTATACATACATTGAATTGCCAATTGTCTTGAAAGCTTCTTTCTCTTATTACATGAAGGTTCTCGATTGAAAAGGCCATTTTTGGTGCATTTTGCTTTATCTAACCATATAATATTTTTCAGGAAAGGATCATTTTCTTGATACCTTGTAATAATCAATTCGCAAAATTGAATTCTTTAAAAAAAAACGGTTTCTTCTAACTGTTGGATGATGATAGCGTGTATGGATAAAAATTGTGTTTGTGCAAAATTCTGCTAATGGTTGTCGTAAAGACATCATTGGAAAAGCATAAAACCCCAAAACTGCTACTTCAATGGCTTCATCGTTAACTAAAGGATTATTCCCTTGAATCTTGGGCTTCATACAACCGAATTTTTAGAAATTTTCTAATGCTCGTTTAGCCGTATGTGCGTCCGGTCAACTTTTTTCTGGATATCTATGAGCAAACACATCACATGTTCTTGATATCACTCTGTTGCAATCACCATAAATAATAAATTAATTGAAATAGTCTTCCTAAGTGAAATTTAAACGCGTGGGCATGAGTATTATTAATATTTTAGGTCTGTGCCTTTGCTTGACCCTTATGAGACTACTACCCTTGTTTACCAGCCCCTGTCAGGTGCTCCGTCCTTCTCTAGCGGTCGCGAATCAATCTCCCCTCTCTGTCCCGCTCAGAGCCTGGTCGCGACCGCCCGTCAGCGCCGGCAAGCCCGCTTGCGCTTCAGTACGCTGTTGTTTACCATCGCGTCAGGTGCGTTCGGTAAAGTTTGTATACGTATTCGTACAAAACTGGATATACAGTGCATGTTAATTGTGCAATGGATAGTGATAGCGAGGTATGTAGATTTTTCAAAGAGTGATTTTCTCTAATTTTAGTATGTTGACATTCCCTTTATTGCATGCAAGTGATTCTAGCACCCTGCGTCTCAATCACGTATTTACTGGTATATAACTTATCTGATCGAGCACTCTTACGTCTCATCAGTCTTTACCAGTCATGCTCTAAGTATTTCTTGGCGTACGGCCCAGAATTTGAACGTTCACGGCTCAGTGAATGGGCCTCCAAGGCTCAGAAGTTGAACCTTCGCGGTTCGGAACTTGAGCCTTACGGATAGGTTATTGAGCCTTACGGCTCGCACCCGAGCCTTACTGCTCGCCCTTTGAGCCTGACGGCTCGCCATTTGAGCCTTACGGCTCGCCCTTTGAGCCTTACGGCTCGCCCTTTGAGCCTGACGGCTCGCCATTTGAGCCTTACGGTTCACACTTGAGCCTTACGGTTCACATTTGAGCCTTACGGCACACCAAGCGAGGCTTGATAAATCAGCCACTAGCTATTTATCTCTGCTTTTGTATATCTGTATTAAGATGTTCACTGGGCCTTTTCATTGCAGATGGCTGCCTCATATTCTTTTGCTTCATTGGGGGAGCTGTATGATGAACCGTCCGAAGACGAAGTCCTAGCAAGACTAAAGATTGCTGCAGCTGGTTTCCTGCCGGAGGGCTGGAAGGATTGGAGACTCCGGAAGGATCATGTAGTTCATATGGAGCCTTCGGTTCTTAACAAAATGCGTTTCTGCTTATCTGCGCTGGAAATTGCAAAAGCCTTCAACCCAGATGCAAAATGCCTCAAGGAGAGACCTTACAGGGACATGAAAGTGAAAATGATGTCATGGCCGTTCTGTGTGGGCCTCATCTTAGGACCTCCATCTCTGGCTCTGCAAGTGAGAGGTTCTGCTTTGCACTGTGAGCTGGTTACTCAGTCGGTGAAGAACTTGAGGGGGCTGTTGATGACTAGGAAAGAGGCGTCGAAACTTCTTGGAGAGGGCTCTGAGACGGATGAGTCTGAAAGCTGTTCCCAGTCGACCTCGAAGCAACGCGTTAGTACTACCAGCAGGTTAAAGTGCCTTGAAGCAGAGTCTGCCGCGACTAGATCATTGCTGCAAGAAATCTTGAGCCGCCTGGATCGAAAAGGGAACGACACTGGGGACTCTGACTTGGAGGAAGACCAGGCAGAAGAATTCATGGAGGAAGTGGAGAGTGAGAGAGAATCGGATGCGGGGTCAACTCCGTGGAGAGCCCCAGAGGTGGTTTCTACAGTTAGCAAACGGACGGTAGTAGACTTTACGCCTCAGACAAAGGAGCAGGAGCCGACTGTCCCTCAACCCGCTCCAGACATACGGATTCAAGGCCTGAGTTGCCAGCGATTCGGAGAGTCGTCATGGAATCGCATTAGGTATGCGGATGTGCAAAAGCACTTACATGCATCTCCTGTATTTGGTGCGCTGTGCTTGAACACGCAGCTGCGACACTTAGCCAAGGACAGCTTTGCGTCTGACTTTTTAGAAAAAACGGAGGGGTCCTATGGGACCGTGTGTCACGGTTTACTATTACAGCGAGCGGCATTCCAAAAGGCAATCAATATGATTATTGACGCCTGCCCATCGTCAGCAGACCTGATAGAGTCGGAGCTTATTGGGCCGGGATGCCTCTTTCGCCAACATTCGGATAATCTTTTGCAGTTCATATGTGGCAAGCGAGCGGAAGCGATAGAGTTGAGACGGAGCCAACTAGCTCCACTGAACACAAACGTTGCTATGGTATTATCGAAGATTCCTCCTTCCGAATCTCATCTCTTTGACGAGAATAAAATTGAGGATCTGTTAAAGTCACAAGCAGGAAGCCTGAGGCCGACATTTAAGAGGAAAATTCCTTTCGCGAAACAAGACGGAGTGGCCAGTAAACAGGCCCGTAAGCCCGAGAGGAGATACCAAAAAAGCCAAAACTTGAGACAGGAAAACCGATCTTCACGGAAGACATCCACTTTTCGGCCAAGCAGGACAGAACTTCGAAGAGCCATGGTAAACCGACGCGGCGCTTTTGACACATTGAAAGTTGCAAGGTGTCGGGGAGATTGGAAAGCAGGTCAACTGAGGGATTTCGCCCAAAACTGGATCATGGCAGGAGCACCAAAATCGTTAATAAAAATGATAGCAGGGTACGCAATTCCGTTTTGCAAGAAACCTCCCTCAATCCCATTTTCCACAGCCAGTATCCAAAGACTGCAAACCTCAGTCGATGCGAAGATGTATCGAGAAATTTCGAATATGTTGGCAACCGGAGTTCTACAGGAGGTCCCGAGCTCAGTGAAATCCGGTTCCTTTCAAGAATGTTCTTGGTCCCAAAAGCAGACGGCTCCAATCGCCCCATTTTCGACCTCAGAAGATTAAACGCCTTCCTGAGCCCAAAAAGATTTCATTTAATAAGCCATCACCGGGTTCCAGAGTTTTTACAAAGATACGACTACATGGTCAAGCTCGACCTATCGCAGGCATATTTTCATATACCTGTCAAGAAGAGTCACCAACGGTATCTAGCCCTATCATTTCAGGGGAAGGTATATACCATGACGTGCTTGCCCTTCGGACTAGCAACCGCGCCCCTTACATTTGCAAGAGTGTCAAATTGGATAGCAAGCCAGCTAAGGAAAAAGAATGTAAGAATCATCGTTTATTTGGACGATTTTTTGATAGCCGGTCAAACCGTGGAAGAGGTGAGACACGACATGCACCTAGCCGTGGCCTTCCTAAGAAACCTAGGATGGAAGATCAACTATTCAAAGTCAATCTTAGAGCCCACTCGAGTGATAGAGTTTCTTGGGCTAGGCTGGGACACGGGGAGGAACCGCAAATTTGTCCCGCAGAGAAAAGTCGACCGAATCAGAAAAGAACTCCGGAAGCGAATCGACTCAGGGCTCTGGAATTGGAGACAGGCGAAGTCGATTCTTGGAAAATTAAACTTCGTAGGATGTGCAATACCTCTGGGACGGTTGCATTGTCGGCGCATCCAGATAGCCAGCAAAAGACTCCCAGAATTCGAACCAAAGACATCATATCGTATCCCGCAAGAGGTGATTCAGCAGCTTCATTGGTGGCTAGAGAATTTGGAACAGACGTCAGAACTTTTCACACCTCCGATAACAGTATTCCTGTCGACCGATGCGTCGGACGTTGGTTGGGGTGCTCATCTGCTAGACAAAACAATCAAGGGTACTTGGACAGGCCAAACAAACGTTATGGCACATAAACAAAAAGGAGTTGTTTGCCGTTTTCCGTGCATTGAGGAGGTACAGGGCGATTCTGAGGCACAAAACCGTATTGATACAGTCCGACAGCCAGACGGTTGTTGCTTATATAAGAAACGAGGGAGGCACCAAATCCAGAACCCTTCTCAGAATGACGGAACAGCTACTGTTGTTTGCAAGGAGCTACCAGATCCAGATATCAGTAAGGTACATCCCGGGGGTTTACAACAGTATTGCCGATCACCTGTCTCGGCAGAAGGCGGTGCCAGACTGGCACCTGTCAGAGACTGCCATTCGTCCAATTTTTCTCAAATGGGGCCAACCAACAATCGATCTGTTTGCAACCAGGAGGTCGAGAGTCGTAGCTGCCTATGTGAGCCAGTTTCCGGAGGACACGGACGCCCTTTTCATAGATGCGTTCAGTCGCCCATGGAGCTTCGGAATTGCTTGGGTATTTCCCCCTCCATCATTAATTCCAAGGATGCTCCATCACCTCAATTCAGCGGAGGGGACTTATATTGTGATCGCCCCACGATGGGAGCAGGCATTTTGGCTGCCCGACTTACGCAAGAGAGCGCTTGAGCCATCACTGCCGATTCAAGACACCCATCTTCACCTGATAGACATGGCGACCAATCAAGTTCCACCAGAAGTCCAGCAGCTACATTTGGAGGCTTGGAAGGTGCGGGGTGGCTACATTACACCGAGGGATGGAGCGCAGATGATATAGCGCTTCTATTGAAAGCCTGGAGACCTGGTACCCTCAAGACATACTCGGCAGGCTGGAAACGATGGCTGGAGTGGGCTAGGAGTCAGAAGGTTCAAGTCAATAACCCTAACCCAAAAGAGGTCGCATTGTTTCTTAGTTTTTTACACAAGGCTAAGCAACTCTCATATAATACTATCCTCTTAAATAAATCGATAGTGACCACATTCGCCGATCCATCCCACGCTGAGGCTATAAATAGGCACCCTGTGGTGAAACATATGCTCAAGGCTATCAGCCTTTCTAAGGTGACTAATCGCAGAATCAGTATTTGGAACATTAATGATTTAATAGCCTGGTTAAAATCCAATCCCCCCGATCTGGACAGTATGTTCCAGGTTTCACGGCATCTCGCCATTTTACTTCTTCTTGCATCAGGCAGACGTATTCACGATTTAACCCTGCTAGCCATTAGTGGCTCCTATTTCCAGGATTTTGGCTCATGGATGGTTTTCTGGCCTAAGTTCGGTTCTAAGACGGACAGGTCTTCGTACAGGCAATCGGGATGGAAGATCTCAGAGAATGATGATAAATCGGTGGATATAATCAAGTGGATACGAATTTTGATATCTCTTTCCGAGGAAAGGCGACATGGCGCGCCGGATTTGGATAGTCTGTTCATATCATCTAGGGGAAAGGTGCGGCCAGCTTCAAAAGCTGTGATTGCAGGATGGGTTAAAACCGCCCTAAAGCAGATTGGTGTTGATACAGGACCAGGTAGCATTCGTTCAGCGGTTGGGTCAGATCGCTTTAGTGTGAATATGCCATTGGACGAGATTCTGAAGAAGGGAAACTGGCAGAGTGATAAAAACTTTTTCAAGTACTATTGTAAGCTAGTCGAGCCAGGAGGATCTACTGATCGTAAGGGAAATACTCCCTTGGAACATTTTGATGTTGTTTAGCCATCATTTTTGTTTTTGTTTGTTGTTTTTTTCAATAAGAATGTCACCATTTATGTTCGTTGCTACAATATAAAACTTTATGTTCTACCGACTTGGGGTTTTTTCCTCCTATCACAGTACGCTCTTAGCGCCGGCAGACTACAAACACGTCTCATAAGGGTCAAGCAAAGGCACAGACCTAAAATATACATGTTTTTCCCCCGAAGGGTAAAAAACATTTATTTTGGGTCTTGCCGAAGCTTGACCCTAAAATTTTTATACCTAGCCGGCTTAAAAAAGACACGTACTGAAGCGCAAGCGGGCTTGCCGGCGCTGACGGGCGGTCGCGACCAGGCTCTGAGCGGGACAGAGAGGGGAGATTGATTCGCGACCGCTAGAGAAGGACGGAGCACCTGACAGGGGCTGGTAAACAAGGGTAGTAGTCTCATAAGGGTCAAGCTTCGGCAAGACCCAAAATAAATGTTTTTTACCCTTCGGGGGAAAAACATGTATAATTTATGAATAAACTGTCAAATAAAGTGACGTTTTTGTAGAGCACAATTGTTTGTTCTCCGCATCCCGCCGTCATAGCCAACTAATTAAAATACTAAATCTGTACTCATGGGAGTTTTACAGTAGAAAAGTAATGAATTTCAAATTACTCGAAAAGTAAGCATTTTTGGGATAGATAACCGTGTATAAATTTATGCTAGTTTTCAATTCTTGATGCGATAAACTTAAAAAATAGGTGGTTTTAATGTGCAAAAATCGGCTCTTGGCAATTTTTGACATTCAATTTTTATACTAATTTTTTGAGCACCCTTTATAAATAATTATCGAAATATCATAAAAAGTCTATTAAACGATATCCCTGTTTACCAGAAAATCAATCCACATTAAACAATAAGGTGTTCTACACACGGAATATGAATTATTATTTTTAGAGCCTGCAAACGTCATTTTTGACATAAAATTTGAATTATGTCAAAACCGGTTACACTTGGGTATAGGAGATTATACATGAAATGTGATTAGAATTTTATATAAAATCCGACTATTGAGTAATATGTAAAGTAAGCAAGTTGACTATACCGAAAGAGCCACCATCTTGAAAATATTTTAGCTGCCGTTGCCTCATCGACATTAGCAAACTCCCAAATTTTCAAAAATATCATATTCCTACTTTTCGAGAAATCTATCGATGAAGTTCTCGATCCGACACTCTGTATTATTGGACGGTTCTACGTTAATAGGGAATTAAACTCCGTTTTTTTAAACTATATATTCAGAAGCATCTACAGTGGAACTGCAAGTTTTCTTCTCAACCATATTCATTATCTTTTTTTTTCTAGATGACATCCTAAAATTTCAAAAATAAATCATAAAGCCTGTTCTATGCTAACTATGCATCAAAATTTAAGTTTAATCTTAAGAAGTAGAATTAGTAGTATTAGTAATAAAATTAAATTATGTTGCGCCAGTTTGGAGAGCAAATAAATTAAACGTCCATTTTAATTATTACATTTTGGATTTATTCTTCTTTTGGAGGCCTCCGCAAGCCTAAAGCGGTTAAAAAAGTGTTGAGGAAATAAATTATAGATCATAATTGTAATTGAAAATTCGGATACATCTTTACAAATCTGTATTTCAATTAAAAGGAAAAACGCGCAATATCAACATAAATATAGAAAACCAGGTATGTCCATAGCCGGTGAAAAAGTTCCAAAATGTGCAGAAATAATGCGTATCAAATATCGAGTAATTGAAAATACTATAACAAATAGTCTTACCTTGATGATTAAGTAGTTCTTTTTCTTTGTTCAATTATTTCTACAATCAAATGAACTACAGTAGGAAGCACCTACACGCACCACTAAAATTTGTAGGCAAACTGGGGGTTATGCGCGTTTCTTAACGAAAATTTGACACTTTTTTTTATACCGAAGCAGCCGCGTAGGTACAAGCCTAAATGCCGGAATACCGCGGCTGCTATGATGATCAAAAAGAAATTTTGTTAATCCGATTCTTGAACTGCCCAAGGTTAGTAGTAGAACTGGGAAAAGCTTCCTCTTGTAAATTGTCTCAACACGCTCGGAACAAAATAGCGGTCGTATCGGCCAGTTCTGGATGTACGAAGTTCGACACTGTTAGGATGGGACACCAAAGTCAGGCGGGTGTGTTTGGCAGGCACATCACGCGGCGGTACCATGGAAGAGAGCTCTGAGGAGCAAAGACCATTTGTGTTACGGTAGAAGAGAGCTAGATCGTCGACGGCCCGCCGGTGTGAAAGGGTCCCGAGACTGTCTGTTAGAGAAGAGTAATCGATCAGTGGGACAGCCCTACTCTGGGCAGCATCGAGCATAAATAATGTAGTCGAGGCGGCAGCACCTCAAACGTGTGAGTAATACTCGAGGAGTGAGAAGGTCAGCCGGAGAAAAGTACTTCTTAGCCCTAAACAAATAGTCTAGCTTTTTCCCAGCAGTTGCCACTATTGACGTGATGTGTTCGTGCCACATCAGATTCTCTGTGATCTGGACTCCGACCAGCCGAAATGAATGGCTCTTTGGCAGAACTCGACCATTCATCGAAACCGGATGAGCGGTGGGACACTTTTTGTTCGTCAAGGTACAGTACTGTGTTTTGGAAGCATTAAACTGTACAACATTGTTACGTCCCCAAGCAGTGATAACCTCCAGGTCTCTCGTCAGAGAGGAAGTCGTCGCTAGTTTTATTTGCAGCTCAGCGGTAGATATCGGCTTGACACTATGAATTCCTGCAGGTAGAGTGCTGTCATCAGCGAAGCTGTGGATTGGGTTGATCGTGCAGGAAAGGAGGTTGTTAATATGTAAGAAGAACAGTATCGGAGCCAAGACCGATCTCTGGGGAACACCCGCGTTGACGTTGTGGGATCTAGAGAAGAACCCGTCAATTATGACGGATATCTTGCGTTCGACGTAGTCCAGAAGCTCGCGATTTATGCACCTCTCCATCACCTTACTTATAACAGAAAGCAGAGCTATAGGCTTGTAGTTGTAAGGGTAAATTTCTAGTTTTCTGGGAAGGTGTCGGATTCATAAGATATCTGGAAGAGACGCGAAAGAACTGGAGCAAGCTCCGCTGCACACCTCTTCATTACAATGGCAGTAATCAAGTCCGGACCAGAATCTTTGTTGATCTCGAGCGACAGTAAAGATCTTGGCAAGCACTTCCGCCTTGCCATCTGAGTCGGATACAATCGTTCCATCCTGAAACGTGAGTGGTGGAAGGCCATGCGCTGAGACATTACCATGTGTCTAACTTTTATATCGTGCTGGTTTTTGGCATTGCGAACCACTGCGTTATACTTGTTTCTGGACTCGACGTCGGCTTGTCTGTTCTCTACAGTGGGGTTTTGTAAGAAGGTTCTGTGTGTCTTGATCTTTTGCTGGCGAGCAGTGTCACACGATTTGTTAAACCAGCCGTTGGACCCTGGCTTAGGCACTTTCACTGTGTGGGGGATGTACTCCTCCATTCCGACGTGGATAATTTCGGTTATAGAAGAACAGGCAGCCGACGCATCCGCGCCAGTGAAACAGACATATCTCCAACGAAAGGTAGAGAAGAAGTTTCGGAGCCCCTCCAAGTCGGTATGTCTGTAATGCCAAATTTTGGGGCCTGTACGAGTTTCTGATGCCACAGCGGTTTCTGACCGAAACTTAACACCGTGGTTTAAGTTACCCAGGGGGGACAGGACAGAGCAGTGCTGTAAGGGACAGAATGCGTGGTCAGAAAGAGATCCAGCAGCCTACTGGAATGTAACCAGCTGGGTCAGCACTTGCATTAGTTAGGTTTGATGTTGTATTACTAGATGGCGATAAAACATCAATTTGGCCAAAAACTGGTGTTACTCGGTTTTCTTACTAAGGCGACGATATGTTATTGCGAGGACAAATATTAGACTTATTTTGCAGTCTTTCTGTGAACGTTCTACCCAATCGACCAGTACTGTCCTGCGAAGCGCAATACGTATGCCAATAGATTAAATATCATTTTCTCGAGCGAATAATCGCAGAAGCATAATCATCACAATGTGTCCGTGTGGTACATGCCGTAATGTTGCTACTATGCTAAGGACGCAAAAGCTTTGTAGTTTTTGAAAATCGGTCCATAGGCGACCGAGAAAAAGACCTTAAAAAAACCAACATTGGTAATTCTACGCACCTATTAGACATATTTCACACTTCATAGATTTCTCTGTACATTAGCCCTGAAAAAATGTTCACGAGCGATGGATCGCGTACCTATCGGCCGCGGCTGCTGCTGGCGTCTTGCGCTACCACGGTGACACGTCTGCCCGAGTTAGGTATCAAGGAGAGGCGACGCTTCCAGATGCACTACCAGTAGGGCAAGAAAACAATGTCTATGGCCTAATTGTATGGACCTGTTTGACTGACTTTTTTCTCAGAGGGTATACACCAAAAGTACGAAATTCCTGACAGTGACTCATCGCTGTTACCTATGGCAGCTGCGGTGAGCAGAGGGGTGGAGAGGGATTGTTCCATGTGGTACGAACTAATTTTTTATAAGAGGTGTTAATATATAACAGCGAAGTGGTTCATTTATATTTATTTAACCAGATATTTAACAATGTGATTGATCAAACAGACAAATTATCATGACGAATAACTGACAATATTTGGTATATATATATATATATATATATATATAATATATATATATATATAATATGTATATATAATGTATGAATAATATAAAAATGTATATATAATAAATATATAATAAACTTATCGAGACTTCAGTGTCAAACATAATAAAATTATTATCAGTTGTCAAAAACAGAAAAACAAAATTATATTGGGATCTAAAAATCAATGATTATTCAATATCGGAGTCATGACTAGACGAATCAGAGTCGTCGCTATTTAACTCAATCACAACTGGTTCAACAATAATGTCTATGTGAGTATCCAGATCCCACATTCTCTGCTCCTCCTTGATGACGTGTTGAAGACATTTTTGCC